TGGACTGGACCCAGCTGTTCCCCTTCTAGGTATCTTCCCCGAGGAACTGAAGCCATCGTGTTGCAGCAATCCATGCACCCATGTTTAAAGAGGAAGTGAAGATCAAAACAATGCCCACGGGCCGGGGATTCAGCTCAGTGGTGCCGCCGCCTGCTGCGCAAGAGTAAGGACCCGAGTTCAATCCCTGGTACCAAAAAAACCCAAAAAGACTAATGCCCAGGATGAATGCAGTGACCGCACACCACAAACACACTACCCAGAAGTTCTGGCCTGCCCCTCACAGCAGGAGACCGTGAGTGCGCGCCGGCTGACAAAGCTAAAAGAAAGGGTTCTCAGCGTTTTTGCCATAAACGTTGGAGGCAGCAGGCAAATCGGACCTGATTACACAATGTCCAATCGCGTGGCACCCCACTAAGTGCAATGCGTGTGTTTTATCAGCTAAAAATCAATGTGACTTTTAAAAGTCAAGCTCAGAAAAACTGTGCAGCTGTTTGCGTGAACCCCCAAATCCAGGACAGGAGGGACAGAGAGAGGAAGGCGCCTGGCCCGCCTGGTGTGGCTGCAGTGGGACGCGGGGCCTGAGCTGGTGCGAGGGAGGTTTCTGCTGCCCCGACCTCCGGTCCGATCCGGACTCCTGAAAGATCGTCAGTCCCGGATGCAGCCTCCCGCTCACAGGCGTCTGTGAGCCCAGTGCAAGCGTCCACCCACGCCGGGAGCCACTGTCGCGTTCCCAGCCGGCGCCTTTCCCCTCTGTGTCACCCTGGCAAATTGAGGGGCCAGCTGGGGACAGAGTCGGCCCTGGGGCCAGGCTCGCACCCTCTGCCCACACCCCGAGGGACCGCTCCCCACCTCGCCCTCTGTCATCCGTACACAGGGGACAGCTGTGTCTCTCACGGGGCCCGGGGACACCAAGTCCCCGTCCATCTCCACTGACGGAGTCACAGCACTCGGGGCAGGCGGGGGCCAGGGAATGGCGGCCACACGGGGCAGGGGCGGAGGCCGGTCTGTGCCGACCACGGCCAGGCGCCCCGAGAGCATGCGAGCCGCAGCACGGAGTCAGCCACAGCCAGTGTCTCCGCTGGAAGCGTCACGGGACAGCACCGGGGCACAGGCGCGCACGTGGCCGCTGGAATCCACATGGCACCCGCCGGCCCGGCCCAGACCCACACCTGTGCACAGAGGGTGCCACCAGCCAGGCGGGGGTGCCCACAAGCACCGGCCTCTCGCTTTCTTCTTTCGCAGCTGCGGTGGAGCCCCGGCCATGCGCCCTGACCGAGCCAGCCCTGGAGTTCCCGCCTGTGCTGACAGACGGGTCCGCGGCAGAAGGCCTGCCTTCCCCTTTGTAGGTCATTGCATGCGTGTGTGTGCATGCGTGAGTGTCCGTGTGCGTGTGTGCAGTGCTAGGGGTGGAGCCCAGGCCTCACCACTGCCAGGCAAGTGCTCACTGAGCTACACCCCCTCCCTAGGTCTCCCACTTTTAAAGGAGAACCCAGAGATTTTTATGCTTTAAATCTAAAATCGTCCCCAATTTTAAAGTCAGCAGTTTCTTAAATCAAAATCTTTGTGATGCCTACGAGGTGAGCAAGATTCAGTTCAGGTGCCCTGGAAGCGAAACACCCGGGCCCCAAAGATTTCAACAGAACAGAAGGCCTCACCTCTCAAAAGGACGGCCCAGGCCACAAAGGTGAGAGGCGGCAGAGGGTCCAGGCAGCCTGCACGCGCTTCCCCTTCACAGCAAGCCCACGGAGGAGCAAGGCTCCCTGGCTGTCCAGAAGCCGGGGTCCCCCCGCGTTGGGCGGAGAAGCGAGAAGGGCGACGAGGGGAGGGGAGAGAACGTGGGAAACCGAGGAAGAGCGGCGGAGGGGAGGAAGACACAAAGAGGGAGGGACGGCGCTGCACCCACGGTAGGAGTCAGCCCTTCAGAGCCAAAGAGCCTCTCGTCCATGTTTGAAGTTCCAGTGGTGTGCGTGCGTGCGTGCGTGCGTGCGTCCGCGTCGGGGATAGAGACAGAGACGCGGGCAGGCAGGTGGGGATAGCGATTCTCAAATAAATGGAAGCTGTCAGCCTCGGATTTCCACTTTCCTCCAGGTGCCTCTCAAGGAGCTGCGGCCTCGGGTTCACTCAGGGCCGAGCGCTGCGCGCTCCGCGCTCCGGGGCGGCGAGGCCCACGCCATGGGGGAGCTGCCCTCCGCCCACCGCCGCGCTGCTCCACAAACTGCGCAGCCGCCCCGCTCCTCCTCTCCTTCCCTCGTTCCTTCCCTTCCTCCTGCTTTGCTCTCTCTTCTTTCCTTTCTGTACCGGGGGTTGAACCCAGGGCCTTCACACTGAGCTATGTCCCCAGACCTTTTTCATCTTTTATTTTGAGACAGGCTCTTTGCAAGTTGCCAGACTGCCGGGCTGACCTCACACTTGGGACCCTCCCGCCTCAGCCGCCCAGGACACTAGGGTTACAGCTGTGCACCGCCACACCCTGCGCAGCCACCTCTTTTGAATGGGGTCCAGCTCAGAGGATGTCTCCTTTCTGGCTCCTCCCCCCGGACAGCCCCTCCGGCTGTCTGGAGTGCGTGCTTAGTGTGCGTGTCTGTCTCCTGCGTCGGCCTTTTTGCTATTTGAGGGTGACGTCCGTCCGTCTCTCTTGTCCCCTACGTAAAACAGAAATTCTATTTTCTGCATTTGAAATCTCCCAATTTCCTATGCTATCAATTAAAAAATTACCATAGAGGTAGAATGAATGATCGCGTGCAAGACTGAGTAAACACGACATAATTACACATATTAATCCTGGTGCCCCGAGAACATCTCTATTGCCAAATTTCCATCTGCTTTTACAATTTCCACTGTGAATACATTTTGCTTTTTGCACTGGGAGGTGCAGTTTCGGCCGCCCGTCTCACCATGTGGCACTGTGTAAACACGCAGAGCTGTAATCACTATCATTATCTGCTTTGGCTCTCTGTCTTCTAAAAATAGGGCTGCGGAGCTGCCCTGACCTCCTGGAAACGGACTGGACTCGTGGCTCTGGGACCCAGCACCCAGCCCTGGCTAAGGACACAGCCTGCTTCCCAAACAAGCACGACCCATGGCAGGGCGAGTTCTCGGGCTGTGCAAAGCAGCCTGCAGCTCCCTGGCCACGCTGTGCTGGGCTTGGATGAATCGGCCTCACACCTCCGTGGCTGTCATGGAAACGGGCTGCAGGGAGGGCTCAGCCCCCGGGCCAGTGCCCCCTGGAGCACTGGGAGTGGGGTACCAGATCCCTCCTGTCTCTATTGTTCCTCTACAAGGACAGTCCCCGGTCACAGGCAAACACAGGCACGGCAGAGGTGCAGACGAGCTCTGTTCTGAGATTATTTTCCAACCAAACACTGATGTACACAGGACAGTACTGATGTACACAAATGGGTAAGGACCCATCTGGTTCCCTGGCTCAGTGTGGACAGACTTGAGGTGTAGGCACCAGGCCACCCCGTGGGCACCGCAGGTTCCCCAACAGCTACCTCGTGGACTTGGTGTGCCAGGCTACGGCGGCAGAGCTGGGTGATCCTTCTCTAAGCACAGTTTAGTGGCTGTGGTGAGCAAGCTCTGGCTGTCCCAGGACCCTGCCGAAGCCCCAGACCTGGGTGTGGCCATGGCCCTCCCCTGCCTGGGAAGTGGCTGTCAGGGACCGAGTGTCTGCCCCAGCTCCGAGGTCCCAGCTAAGCCCGCCGGGGTCTGACCAGCTCTGGAACCCTACACAGGTCACGGCACAAAGGCCTCACTGCACTGGTGGGCTGGCAGGGGGCAGGACAGAGAGAGCCGCACCAGCGTGGGCAAGGCCAGTGGGGAGGTCTTGGACAGACTGTAGGGCAGCGCCCAGCTCCCGCTCCCCAGGGCAGTGCTTGCTCAGAAAGGGCTCTTCCTGCCCTAAGTCCCGACGGGGAGGAGCGAAGTCTGGAGCAGACTGAATTCAAACTGCTCCCCGCAAGTAGGGTCCAGAATGGGAGCTCACATGTGGGTACATGCGGACTCATGTGCACATGCGTGTGGATGTGTGTGCCTGCATGTGATGTGTGGACCCATGTGGATGCCATGTCCAAGGGAGAAGCTGGAAAGGGCCCCTGCAGCTTCTGCTCTTCAGGGAGCAGCAAGGACGGGCTGGTCTGGGGGCCCATGCCGCTCTGACCTCCTGGCCCCAGACACCTGGGAGCAGCGGCTGGCTCTTCCCCACCCTGGCCCCAGGGGGAGCGAGGTCCTGGTCATTCCGGTGCTGGGCGCCACCTCCCCCTACCCCATTCCCAAGCCTGAGACCCCCGCATTTGTCTGAGGAAAGGGGAACAGGTGGGAACCCTGGGTCTTTGCCCCTCTTTGAGCACAGGGTCTAAGACAAGGCTTGAAACGTTGGTAAAGTGGAGGCAGCAGCGTCCCTACCCCGAAGTGGGTGACAAGGACCAAACGCCCCAGCCCCGTGTGCCATCCCAACAGACAGGCGGGGAAAGCTGGTGTCAGCGACGTGGGTCCGAGCCCTGGCGGCTGCTCCCCACAGGAAGCCTGTGTGGTCTGGGGTCCAAGTCAGTGCCGCTCACCAGCCCCTGCATCCCCTAACAAAGGGGGACCCTCACAGGGGTCCCCATGAGAGAGCCCGGTGGAGCCCTGGACTGAAGAGTCCCTGCCCCCAAGAGTTGCACCCCACTGTCCCCGAGCAAATCCCGCCACCCCACTTCTCCTTGGAGGGGTGCAGAACCCAGGACAACAGCCCACCAGGAATCCAGCGGGGACTGGCACTGAGGACGCACAACGTGAGCTAAGAGAAGACCGGGCCGCCCGGGAAGGGGGTCCCCTTCATCAAGAGGTTTCCTACGCCCCAAGAAGAGGCGGCAGGACAGAGACCGCTGTCACCAGAGCTCCGAGTCACGGACCTGGGCGGTGGAGTGGCCTGGGACAAAGTGTGCATGCAGGGCCTGGCAGCCTGAGGGCTGAGCAGACAAACAGCTGTGGACAGAGAAGGTGGCCCAGCAGGGGCTTACCTGGGTGGTCTTGGGCCCGGGGGTGGGCTCCTCGCACCTGCACAGGGAAAGTGGCAGCGTGAGACTCGGCTGGAGGGCCTGCAGACACCCAGCTGGCCACAGCCTGGGGCCGTACCTGACACGTGCAGCACAGGAGCAGCAGCCAGAGGTCCCTGCAGCGCAGGGGCCCACGCACCCGCATGGTGGGAGTCCCGGCGGGGCGGCCCCTCACCTTCGCCCGCTCTGGGAGAGGGACATGTACCCCAGCTCGGCTGAAAGTCTGCTCCTTGGGAGCACACAGGGCGTCTCCTCCGGCTTGGGGCTGGAGCCCGGCGGATCCCTGGCGCCTGTCCCAGTGGGAAGCAGGGGAGAAGCTGCTGGCTCAGGATCGCACGGCCCAGGGAAGTAGGCAGGGCTGCCCGCCTTGGCCTCCAGGGCTGCTGGGTCCCCAGCGCCTCAGTGTGGCTGGCGGGAGAGTCCTGGCTCCCGCGTCTGCTGCCTGCTGTCCCGCGGGAGCTGCCTGGTCTGGCTCCTTCGCACCTCGTCCAGGGCGGGTGGAGCCAGTGATGTCAGCGCCTCGACTCCCCACTCCTTCGCGTCCGGCCCAGGCTCCTGGGTCCTAACACCAGCTTCCCGGGAAAGCTGGACGGAGTGGGGCGGGGCGGGCTCAGGCTGGGAAGGGTGCGCGTGACTGTGAGTGTGCAAATGTGCATGTGTGGGTGCATGGCTGTCTGCGCGTGTTGGAGAGCAGAGCAGTGTGTGTGTAGATGCACGCGGGGCTCCAGCCCAGCCCCACGGTCCTCGTGGACACCGTCTGCGAACAGTGCCGGCCGTGGCCTGACCCTGCGCCCCTTCTACCTCAGCACCTGCCCACCACACCCCGAGCACCTCACTGCACAGCCTCACTGCTCAGTGCGCCCTGCACTCACGCAGCCACGCCGTGCCTCAGTTTACCCAAGCCGTGAGTTTCTCCGGTCTACTCCGAAGAGCAGCCGTGCCTGTCGGGGACGGGGCCCTGGCACTCCGCCCCCAGCGCTCTCTGAACAGCCCCCTCCTGGGCGCCCATCGGGAAGGAGGACTGCCCTGCTCCAGGGGGGCGGGGGCACGGAGGTGGACGCACACGGCCCCAAGGCAGAGCCCGGAAAGCACGCAGCCCTCTGACCATCCTGTAATCACCACCGAAAGCAGAAAATAATCCCAGAAACACTGCACGCAGAGTCCCAACTGTCCTGACTTTAAATGGGAATCGAGAGCCAGCCAGAGCCGCACACTTCCTAAAGCAGGAGGAACGGCAGGGGTGGGGGGTGGGGGGGGAATGGTTATCTGATGGCGAACTCCCTGCAGCTGGAGCTGGGGCGGACCCCAGGCCTCCCGCCCCTCCCAGCCAGAAAACCGGCTCCGGGGCCAGGCTTTTCGATGGTGAGCTTTCCCTGTGCCTTGGCCAGGGCTGCGGGAGGCCAGGCCACCAGCTCCCAGCCCGGCTTCCCCCCATCAGAGGGAGGAGGGGCTGCAGCAGGCTGCTCTCAGCCCCTCCAAACCCAGGAAGAGTTCAACAGATCACTGAATATGTGGGCTCCCCACCTCCAGGGCCAAACAGCCAAGCGCTCGCTCTCCCCTTCTCAGGAGAGTCTCGCATGTGCTCCAGGCTGGCCTTGAACTCACTATGTAGCCCATGCCGGCCTCAAGCCTGCAGCATCCTCCTGAGATGATGGGTGTGACATTCCTTCAAGTTAAAACCCCCTTTAGGTGATGACAGGCACCCAATTCCATGGACAGGGTGAGACAGTGATAAAATGAACCAAGCCTGCGTCTGCAGATGCCTCTTGTGCCCAGCCCAGGCCCCAGGTCTTGCTGCTGGCTCCCCACCTCTCTGCACCTGAAAGCAGCATTTCCAAACCGTGCAGAGGTCAGACAGTAATTATTTTTGTTGACAAGTAAAATTCACACACTTATAAGGGTGTGGCTTCCCTGCAAACTTCTCCTTGCCAGCCTGAGAATTTAAACTGGGATGCTGGGTGTGGCCCTGAGGTCCTGCTCTTGATTGCTTAGAAAGACTAAAGCAAGCCAATCAGTCCCGCTGTCATCTGAGCCCCTATGAATAAGAATGCAGAAAGCGTTGCTTTAGCAATTTTTATTTTGGTCTTTTTTTTTTAAGACAAGGTCTTGCTATGCAGCTGAAGCTGGCCTTGAACTATGTACGCCAGACTGGCTGGGAACTTGAAGGAATCCTCCTGCCTCAGCCTCCCAAGTGTGTGCCACCACGCCCAGCAGCGTTTCTGTGCACAGCACACGTGTGTGAGCCATGCTCGGCCCAGAACCCCATCAGCGGCTCCCACCCTGCCTGCCCACCGCCCCCTGGCCGTGCCCCTGCACGGACTTGTCAGACCCCACACAGAGGTGCCCTCTTGCAGGACAGCCTCTGCGCCTGGCCACTGTGTGCCCTGATTTGGGGCGTGGCATGAGGAGCACGTGGGTCAAGGAGGGGAGCGGAGCCCCCTCTGCCCTCACCCAAGGCCCCCAGGTCCTGAGTGCCTCTGCCCTGCTGTCCTCCATCCCCACGCACTTGGCGCTGGACACCTGCTCCCCCCAGACGCAGTGGGCGCTGAGCAGGACCCCAAATCCAGGTGTGGCGAGGGCCCAGCCTGCACTCTGACTGGGCACCACTCAGCGGCTCACATGGACACCACCAGGGGCCGCCAGCAGGGGACAGACGGAGACCCCATGCTCACGCGGGGCAGTGTCCCCAGCCGGGACCTTGGGCCGGCAGCTCTCAGGGCCCAGGTCGGCCTGGACAGCTTCAGAGCCCCATTAGACCAATGTAACACACACACACACACCGTACAGTCACACGCGCGTGCACACACCGTACGGAGACACATGTGCACAACTTGTGGCCCAGTAGGAGATGGAGCCATCCCTGATCCCTGGCACAGGTACTGCTGACACCAGTCTCCTGTCTTACACACGAGACCCAGCGTTCCTTCCAAAGCCACGACACACATGAAAAGCAAGAGAAAGAAAACTGACAGTGGTGGTGCATGCTGGGAATCCGAGCACACTGGAAGCTGAGGCAGGAGGATCTCAGGCAATCAAAGTATAAGACAAAAAGGTTAAATACAGCAGTTTGTACATGAATTATTCCACTGAAAGACAGGGAGCATCCTTAGGCTGACGGGGGATTTGTGCAGCAGTGGAAATGGTGTGCAGAGGAAAAGAGGAATTCTAACCCCCTGCCCTGCCTGAGCCCCTGCAGCTCAAGGAGGGGCCGCAGCGTGGGAGATGCATCAGGGCGCCCAACAGGAAAGCGCGGTGCAGAAGGAGAAGGCCAGAGACCCACGTCTGTGCGGCAGGCGGTGCAGGAGCAGAGTGAGGGGCGAAGACAGTGCCTGGAACAAGGAGACACAAGCCAGGCGCGAGGGGTTCAGGCACCTGCAGCAAGACCAATGGTAGACGCACACAGACAGGGTCACACACACGGGCACACGGCACACGTACATGGACACAGAGGCACACGCGCACATGGGCACAGAAGCGCAGCGCAGGCTCCGAGTCAAACTCCACAGTGTTTAGGGTCGTCAGCTGGAATCCACACCGTGAGCTCCTCCAGAGCGAGGGTATGCGTCCAGGCAGGGGTGGCAGTGCTGACTGCTGACGGGGCAGCATTCCTTTACTTTGTCTGTGCCGTCCACGCTGGCAGCGCACGGTGACCGCTCAGTGTCTCCCACCTTCTCACCCCACCTCTCGCTCCCCTCCCACTTCCAAAGTGCAGCCTGCTTCCCACCTTCTCGTTCACTTTGCTCTTTGGTTGACGTTTACTCTGGGTTTCTACACACAGACATCATGCGATGTTTAGCCTTGCGGGTGAGGGCTTCTCTTTGGGGGTGATGGAAATGTTCTGAAGTTAGTGGAGATGATTGTGCAACTCTGTGAAAATACTAAAAGCTACTGAACTTTACACTCTAAAAAGTGAACGTTCATGCCTGCAATTAAGCACTCAGGAGGCTGAGACAGGAGGACCTCCACATATGAAGAAAGAAGAATAAACACTTTTCCAGACAGAAGCAGAAAGAAGTCATGAGCTCGGAGCGGAAGCAGGAGACACAGAACTCCCTCCCTCCGAGGACAGAGCCACGCCGTGCCAGGCCGAGATCCCTCCACACAGAGGAGCCTCCTTCTTCTCCCGTGCCTGGATCACTGCTACCTCCTCAGAGACTGGGACACCGACCTCTGAGTGAGTAGGCGGATGGGCCTCGCTCCCAGCGTCCTCGAAGCAGCCATGCTTCTGTGGCGAAGCCTCACCTTCCCAAAGGAAATGAATCGCTGGAGCTGAGCAACGCTGGGGCCAGAACATGCGACCGCTGTGCGTGGGGTCACATGGATAAAGATAAAGACGGGTCGATCTGGACCGCAGAGAGAGGGGGGTGATGGGGAGAGAGGGCCCAGTACGCTGAGAGGCTGAGCCAGGAGGAATTGGAGTCTGACCCCAGCCCAGGCAATTTAGCAAGATCCTATCTCTAAGGGCTGGGGATGCAACTCTGCGGGAAGGCCCTGGGGTCTGTCTCCACTCCAGAGAGAGAGGGAGGGAAAGGGAGAGGGAGGGAAAGGGAGAGGGAGGGAGAGAGGGGAAGAGGGAGGGAGAGGGAGGGAGGGGGAGGGGAGGGGAGGGAGGGAGGGGCTGCTGGCGCTGTTTCTCAAGAGACTCTGCCTCGCACAGTCCTGCAGGAGGAAACAGACCTAGCAGGGACGTAGGAGAAATGAAGAGGCTGGCGCACATCTGGATCTAATTGTCACTGATGGAGCACCCCACCCAACCACAGCAGGAGCTGCGCGCTCAGGCACACACGGGACACAACACCCACCCAGAGAGCCCATAAAACAAAATTTAATCAACACGAGAGAATATAAAATACACTCTCTGGATATCATGAATCAAGCTATCAATCCACAGCAGAAAGCTGGCAGGTCACTTAGCAATCAAAAATGTATTCTCGCCTAATCTGTGAGTAAAAAGTAATGCCCAGATAAACTAGGAAATTGTCTGAGCTGAATGGAAATGAAAATGCCACTGATCACAACGGGTGGCACAGCTAAAGCGGGGCTTAGAGGGAAAAGTATGGCATGGAATGCCTATGTTAGAAAAGAAGAAACACCCCACATCAGTGACCTATGCCCGTGTCATAAGAAATTAGAAAAACTAGAGCAAAATAAACCCGAGTGAAGCAGTAGGAAAGGAAGAAGTAATGAAGCGACCGTGGTTCTAGGTGGAGAAACTGCTGCGTAAGGGAAGATCTCAGCACCATCCCTGCTTTGCACTCTGGCGTCACAGAGACAATGTTACAATATTCCCTTCCCCAACATCAGCTCCTGCCACGGCCCCCTACTGTCAGCTCTCTCCTGTTTTCTGACCACACTGATCCGGCATTTCGGCTCCTGCCCCTCACACGCCTGTGTCCACAGGGCTCCTCCTGGGGTACCCTTCCCCAGCTTCCTCTCAAATTCAACCCTGCGCCACCTTAGTGTATCAGTTGGCTTTCCACCATTCAAGCAAAATATCCGGTACCTGTAACATAAAGGAG